CAGAAGGGTCCTGGCTAAATTTACATCAATGAAGGACCATGAGTCCCACCCTATGCAGGTCACACTATCTGCTCTGGAGAGCAGTTTTAGTGACAGACTGATCCATCCTCGCTGTGTGAAGGAGAGATTTCGCAGGTCTTTCCTCCCTGCTGCTGTCAGACTTTATAACAAGGTCTAATATGGTTGGTAATAAGGTCGTACATTGTTATTATATTGCTGGAACAATTGCTTTATGTATGTTCAGCAGTTATACATTATCTGCATGACCGGTAATCACTTGGAGTACTCCGATAATATTACTAATTTTTTTAACTGATTATCATTATTTGATTATCATTTATCTGTACTATACGCACATGTTATGCATAGTTCCTGGAGCGTTATAATTTTATGGTTTGTATTTAATATCTTTTAATTTTTTACCTTGTTTCTTATAATATTTTTATATTTTCTGTACTTTGCTGAATCACAGTGTGCTGTTGCAACATGGAAATTTCCCCCCTGTGGGACTAATAAAGGTTTTCTAATCTAATCTATGTAAAGACACCATAATGCGGTGCATTGAAGACAGCAGCCAATGACTCCAGCTCTCCTAATGGTGAGCTCATAAATCCACTTATGTACTTGTGAATACAGATCTCCTGCTTTGTACATATGCAATTTCAGGGCTCTGTAATTTGCACTTTTGTAATAGTGACTACATTTCTGGCTCAGAGCACATACTGAGCATGGCTATATGATTATGCATACCCGGTGCCTGGTGTGGTTTGATGGATGACTGTTAAATTGTTGTGCAGCCTGTGACTTGGTGATCCATGTTTGGTCTGTTTTGCATGTGATATATTATTTCTTTTTTTCCATGACAAAAAAAAAACTCAGGAGTTATGAAGAAAATCCTGGAGAGAGCACTGAATGCGATGTGAACTCGCTAAGGATATGGTGCCAGTGCTTGATACAACACTGAAAGATGCCATAAATATAGTGAACTACATTAAATGAAGCACCAAGTACAGCTGCTGTTTCACACAGCTGTGCAAAGACCTGGGATCAGAGCACGTCCAGTTATTGTATCGTTCAGAAGTTCGCTGGCTTTCGAGGGGAAAGGTAATGTCACGCTTTTACGAGCTTAAACACGAAATCACCGCCTTCCTCTCACACAGTAACTCCCCGTACACTGAGATGCTCAGTAATGAACTCTGGCTCGTGCACGTAGAGTATCTTGCTTGGCGTATCTTGCCAATGTGTTCGAGCATCTCAACACTTTAAACATGTCTATGCAGGGGAGAGAACACATCATCTTTGAACAGACTGACAAAGAAAGAAAGAACTTCAAAAAGAAGTTGATAAATCACGAAAAGGGTTTCTTGTGGATAAATCACGTGACTAAAGACAGACTTGACATGTTTCACTTGCCACGCAGCAGGAGAGCTAAATACAGCGGCCAAAAATGCCCTGAAAATAACTGTCACTGTGCATCTGACCAGTCTACACACTCACTTTGAGGAATACTTTCCAGAGAAACACAACAATAGTCACTGGATAAGAGATCCCTTTGGAATCGACATGGAAAGCGTTGTGTTGCCAAGCAACGAGGAGAATCAGCTGGTCAAGCTGTCATGTGACCAGATGCTGAGAAAGAAATTTGATGAGGTAAGGCTCCCCTGGTGCAAATACATGATGTCTGAGTATCCATCCCTCGCTACATTGGCAGTCAAAGCAATCCTACCGTTCACAACAAGCTATCTGTGTTAAAGTGGATTCTCCATTTTGGTACAGCTCAAGTCAAAGCAAAGGAACAGGTCTGACACTGAACATGATCTGAGAGTAGCTCTGTCTGCTATCAGCCCAGACATTGAAACTCTTGTCAAAACTAAAGGACAATGACAACTATCTCATTAATTCACTGTAAAAAAAAATCTTGCTTACATGTTAAGTGAAAAGAGACTATAAAGTATTATCATGTTGTGTTTGCAGTTCTGCATTCAGTTTTATACACATTCAGTTTTATACCCTGTTGTGTTATTTGACTTATATTTATGTATGTGTTATGCAGCAGTTATGGTCTTTATTTTTATTTTTGAGTAACATTTCCTCAATGCAGACAGGAAAATCTGATAAAAAGGCAGTACTGACTATGTTTTTAAAAAATGATTTATAATTTAATAAATTTATTTGAAATCTTGTACTGGTGGGTCGCGACTTGATAAGTGGGTTGGAAAGTGGGTCCCAGGGTGACACCAGTTGAGAAACACTGCCCTACAACACCAACACACCGAGGCCCTGTCGAGATGTGTCCCCGTTATAAGTGTTTCACGTAGCGCCCCTTGGTGGTTAGGGTTAGGATAAGATTTGGGTTCAGGTTAGGGTAAACATCTGCCACTGTAATGTTACCATTGTTGTACCTGGTACTTTTTACCATATGGACTCTGAGAGACGAGGCAGTCCAAGTAACTACAAAACAGTGCTGATTTATTCCATGAACACAGGTAAAAATTAACATTACATGCTCAGGCATCTTGCACCTCCAAACTGCACGCAGGCAGATGAAAGATGAAAGACCCTGAACCCAACAGGCCTGTACATTATATCTGTTTTGGGCTAACCCCATTCTACACAGGCACGTCAAACCGTGGCGTCACCTGATCTGCCAGCTTTACAGCTGACCGTAGCAGTAGTCAAAACATGGAGAAAATCAATGTGTGTGAGTGTTGATTAAGTGGTGTGTATCTAAGAACATACAGGACATTCAGGGACATGTCCGGACATTAAGCCTAGGAAGATATTATGATTAAGATTACGGCTAAACATATCATACAGTAGCCACTTTCTATCTAGTTATCCTTGAACATAAACAACCTGGAGTAACTCATGGAAATGAGTAAGCATTTAACAGCCTGAGCTAGACATCCTGTCTACACTAAAAACATTTCTAATACAACAAGTACCTAACCAATATCTATCTGACTAAAAATACCTAACACCATGTTCTGAAGGTATTCACAAAACATGCTAGAGGAAGCAAAACGTATATCCAGTATCGAAACCGTTTCATTATAAAGTCAAATCTCTCGTTTTATATGGGAACTTTGTGCACCAAGACAACCAGGCACAGGGACAGTTTCTTCCCCCAGGCTGTTACTCTGATAAACACTTAAGCAACGGACAATAACCCTCAGTGCAATACCTGTAAATATACCACGTATATTTCTCTAGGTCTCTATTTTTTATTCCTATTCATCTCATTTCAATGAACATTCCTGTGTTTGTCTGCATTGTTTACTGTCTGTTTATACTGCTTATTCTGCATTGTTTGTACTGTTTGTTGCTGTTAATACTGCTTATTCTGTTATATTACACAGCCTTTTGTTGGTTTACTGTTTTACGTGCCCCTTGTATGGGGATATGTACATTGAGAGCCGATGTACCAGAATCAAATTCCTCGTATGTCCGGCACACCTGGCCAATAAAGCAGATTCTGATTCTAAGAAACCAGCGTCGCGACAAAAAAATGGAACAGTTTAATTCAGCCCGAGTCATATCCCCGTGTTAGATTCAGTTCATCCGTTAGTATTATTAAAAATATTCAGGTGTAACAGACCTATTCTGTGTATCTTTACTTCTGGTTTCCAAACGATATCCAGCAGTCTGCGCTGACGATCGATCTCTTCTTCGTACTCTACGATCGTTTTCTCAAAGACTCCGAATATTTCTTCAACAGCAGCAGTTAGTCGCTCGGTGACGAACTCTCTCAGATGCTGAACTGAAGACATTGCTGATTTGTTAAAACTGAAGTACTGAACTGGGAAACGACGATACCAAGGTTTTATCCACAGAGCTACCACGTTGTTTATTTCCGGCGTATGTCACACAGTGAAGTTCCGGCGGTGAATGTGTTGTCCTTCTTCTTCTTTCAATATATTTCCGGCAGGCTGTACACCATGATGTGTCATACTGCCCTCGATAGGGGAAAACATCTTTTGATCAGGCGCAAAATAGCTTTTCTAAATTCAATTATACAGGTGGGTGGAACCTAACTACCATCAGAATGCCATCGCCATGAGTTGAACGTGAGTTCAGTTTTATACTGAGACATAAAAAAGGAAGAAAGGAAAAAAGTACCAAGAAAAAAGAAATACAAACAAACAAATTTTAAATAAATATGAATGTTTTACTTCATTCACACATTTATAGACATTGTATTAAGTAATTTTTATGAGCTCATTATAGGGTTTTATGTGTAAATTTTACACAACATTGTAGGTACAGATATCAAGTAAATATACTGACTCAAACTACAATTTTTGTCTGTTAACAGTGGAGCTTGGACAACTGTTTAACCATTACAGTAAAACCTTGGATTGCGAGTATAATTCCTCTCGGCAACGTGCTTGTAATCCAAAGCACTCGTATATCAAAGCGACATTCCCCATAAGAAATAATGGAAACTCAGACGATTCGCTCCACAACCACTTGTTCATACAAAAATGATTACAGTAATACAAAATATAGTATAAAGTAAAAATAAAACAAATTAACCTGCACTTTACCTTAGAAAAGAATCGTAGCTGGTGTGAGGGAGACGAGAGAGGAGCTACAGTATCTGCTATCTGCTGGCTCGCTCAAATTTTTTTCTTTTTGTGCAACTTTAACAAGGAACGTATTGAATGACACTTGCTTTGAGGATTTGGCGGAAATGTGGCATTGCGTTGTCGTTAAACAGATTTATCATTTGTACTGTTACAGCCTTATCCGGGTGGTGCATTCCTACAAAATTTTGCAGTGTTTCCCACATTTTACACATCTCCCTTATAAAATCTTGGGATGTCAGCCACTCACATACCTCATTCATGCTTCACGATGATTTCCTTTTTAACTTCCACTGTAATCATCTCCTTTTTCTTACGGCCTTTCTTTTCAACCTTTGTCTTCATCGAGCCCATTGTTGCAGTACAGACGAGTGAGGAGCAAGTACCAACGGCTCAGTTGTGTCATGATGCTCGGCAAACAAAGTGTACGTACTACTCGTATTGCAAGACCTCGCTCATTTATCAAGTTAAAATTTATTTTTAAAAATGTGCTCATCTTACAAAACACTGACAGACCAGGTTACTCGCAATCCAAGGTTTTACTGTATTTATTAAAACTATGCTAAAGTTCTCACATATTCAGGTGTACGGAGACTTAAAATTTTTTTTCCTCCACAAAAAAGTAAAGCCACAAATCTGTAATTTCATCCTTCATAAATTACGATAAAGGTGTTTGGTGCTTATAAAATTCAAGACTCACTTTGATTTGTTTTGTAACCCTCATAACTCCAAATGGTAAAGTATTTATAATTATTTCAGAATAATAAAACCAAAAATGCCTCTTCATAAAAATGAGAGGATAAGTTTGTGAACGCACACAATTCCAGCATTAATTAACATGAATTTCCCTTCCATAGATGGGTAAACGAGTATATGTGCTCTGAAAAGAGTTGTGTTACGCTAAATGAAGTTGGCAGCTGAGAAACCCCATTTTCTAAATGGCATAATGCAGACATAGTAACTTCTCCAACCTTACAACAATTCTCTCTAATGTTACAGAAACGAGGCATTAACAGCCAGGCAACATGTGTTTTTAAACTTACAGTTAAGTCCCACTGAGTAATAAAAACATCGCTCCCTTTCAAGTATGTCCAAGGTTGGTAAATCCAACCAGTGGTCACTGTGTCTTCCCCCACACGACTACATACAGTTCCAAAGCAGTGAAATAAAGGTAGAGTAGCACCAACAATAACATCATGAGCCGTTAATCCACTGGTTAACCAGCAACACATCACATGTGGCAGACATGCTGGCCTCAAGCAGTCCAAACAAACGGGTACTGTGCTCTGGGGGAATCCAGCCTTGATAAGCTGATCACTAACCACTGTGGGGGCTTCACTGGCTGGCTGATCGTAGGTTAGATCTGGTTAGGTAAAACAGCGAGTCCCTGTACAGGAACTTTCCTGAACATGCAGTAACCTCAGGCTCTGTATTTGTCTCCACATCCTCTGGTCACAGTGCAGCAGCAGGAGGGAAAATATACAGACAAAACTGGATGCAGTTGAAAAATTCCACTTTTATAATGGCACATGTAGATGTTGTTGTTTTATTAATAAGCTTTAATGAAAACATACATAACATACAAGGCAATAAAACATTTTGTCAATATGGTGGGGACACTGGTGGAAGTTAGGCAAGCTCACATGAATGCGCAACGGTCTGCATTTTTCATGCCCATTCAAGGAAATCCTTAAACTATCACGTAATGCTTTATTTTGTTACAAAAAAAAAGTCTCATGAGAGTTTGTGAGACATGTATAAACCCGAGTTGCTTCTGCATAGAAATACTAGAACATATGTACACCTCATTTTATGAGCTGTAGGTCATATCGAAGATGATATTTCACCCTTGTAACATTGTGGATATGTCAGAAAACAAGGAAAAGCACCGTGGGCCCTTTAACAAAGCACGTGCAGCAGCAGCAGCGTTGAGTTGGTTCAGTTTTCAGTTCACAAAGAAAACCAGTCTTTTGACTCCTGAGAAGCCACATCGGGGATGTAGTGGATTTGCCTCAAATTTAATTTAGTAATAAAATAATTGCTTTGGAGCAGCAGGTCCGCTTTGTGCCAGACAAACCATGATTTGATGTCATCATTGTGATCAATTAATCATCCATAAATTACTAATCAAATGAGCAATCTTCAGTGTGAAGAGTGGGGTTAGTCACGGATCTGACGCTCTTGGGTCAGCCACACCAAGAAAGAACAAGAGGAAATATTGCCTTTATCTTTATCAAAATATTAAGGAATCCATCTAGAAGTCTAACTACTATATGAGACCAATTGTTCTCTCACCAGAACTTAACATAAACAACACAGTGAATAAAACCATGTCATAATTTGTAGTAGAGAAATGGCTGAATAATGGCGTACACATACACGCAAGTGAACATCTCCTATTCAAGCACAAACGATTCTCAGACTATCTGACAAATGGATAATAATGTCTTTATCTAAAGTACAGGGGTTGGTAGCGAATAAATGTATTTTACCGAAATTATCAAAGAATATGAAACAAGTAATAATTGGTTAGATTAAAAATTCTACATCTACAGTGATCTTAAGTAAACATATCTAGGTCGATAAATTATACCAAGTGAATTAAGACACTAACAGTAAACATTTCATTCTGTGAAGCTTGTCATGTTTCAACTTGAGACATGGCCTATTATGTAATTACAAATATTACTCTATCATAATGTACATTTCAGCGAACTGGTAGAAAGTGGAGGTAGAAAGGGTTTCCCTGGAGTTATAATCTGAACTACTGTGGTGGTGTTGGTAACTTCATGTCAATCAAAAGCAAACACTTGGGGGCTCAAAGGGCAATTGTGTTACCTCCAAATCAATATTCCTGAATGAGGTCTGACTTTGTTCACTGCCTTGAAAGCGATATCTGAAAGCTCTCCCACGACTTGTAAGCAAATGACTTTTAATCAGTATAAACTCTTATGTGTTTTTGCTGCCGTGTAGAATCTTTTCCAACAGGTGCTGCAGGAGTACGTCTTTTCAACTGTATGGATTGTGTTTCAACAACATTCCCCTTCATGTGAAACAGTTCCCACACGTTTTACAAGACTACAGCCTCTCCCCTGTGTGGGTTCTTAAATGAACATTCAAATTTGGTGATGTCTTGAATCCTTTCCCACATGTCTTGCAAACATATGGCGTCTCCCCTGTGTGGGTTCTCATGTGGACTAATAAGCTCTTCCTTTGTGTAAAACCATTCCCACATGTTTTACAAAAATACGGCTTTTCACCTGTGTGGGTTCTTAAATGAACATTCAAATTTGGTGACGTCTTGAATCCTTTCCCACACAACTTGCAAACATATGGCCTCTCCCCTGTGTGGGTTCTCATGTGGATCAATAAGCTCTTCTTTTGTGTAAAACCATTCCCACATGTTTTACATGAATGCGGCTTCTCACCTGTGTGGGTTATTAAATGAGCATTTAAATCTGATGATCGTTTGAATCCTTTCCCACAGGTCTCACAAACAAATGGCCGCTCACCTGTGTGGGTTATTAAATGAGCATTTAAATCTGATGAACGCCTGAATCCTTTCCCACAGGTCTCACAAACAAATGGCCTCTCCCCTGTGTGGGTTCTCAGGTGGATTATCAAGTTCTTCCTTTGTATGTAAGCTTTCCCACATGTTTTACAAGAATACAGCTTCTCCCTTGTGCGAGTTTTTATGTGGCTCATCAAGCTCCCCCTATGTGTGAAACTGTTCCCACATGTTTTACATGAATGCGGCTTCTCACCTGTGTGGGTTCTTAAATGAACATCCAAGTCTGACGATCGCTTGAATCCTTTCTCACAGGTCTCACAAACATATGGCCTCTCACCTGTGTGAGTTATAAAATGAGCATTCAAATGCGATGACTGCTTAAACCCTTTCCCACAGGTCTTGCAAACATATGGCCTCTCCCCTGTGTGGGTTCTCATGTGGATTAACAAGGTCTTCCTTTGTATGTAAGAGTTCCCACATGCTCTACAAGAATACGGCTTCTCCCCTGTGTGAGTCCTAAAATGAGCATTCAAAGCTTTTGATGTCTTAAATCCTTTCCCACAGCCATTGCAAACATAAGGCTTCTCTCCTGTGTGGTTTCTCATGTGGATCAACAAGCTCCCACTATATCTGAAACAGTTCCCACATATTTTACAAGAATATGGCTTGTCCCCTGTGTGGGTTCTTAAGTGAACACTCAAATCTTTTGAGGTCTTGAATCCTTTCCCACAGATATTGCAAACATAGGGCTTCTCCCCTGTGTGGATTTTTAAATGAACGTTTAAGTGTGATGACTGTTTGAATCTTTTCCCACAGGTCTTGCAAACATAGGGTTTCTCCCCTGTGTGGGTTCTCATGTGGGTCAACAAACTCCCACATTGTGTGAAACACTTCCCACATGTTTTACAAGAATATGGCTTCTCCCCGGTGTGGCTTCTTAAATGAACCTTCAAAGTTGATGAGTCCTGGAATCGTTTCCCACATGTTTTACAAGGATAAGGCTTCTCACCTGTGTGGGTTCTTAGGTGGTATGTCAATTGAGACTGATACCTAAAAGTTTTCCCACACATGTCACACTTGAATGACTTTCTATCTGTGGGAGGATCAGAGTCAGCCTCTGACACAGGAGAGGTGTCCACATTGCTACTGTGACTTGTGTCTTTGTGACGTCTCCTCTTTGGCTTTGGCTCTGCATTACTAGCTGATCCTGAGTCTCCATGCTGGCTTCCTTCCTGATCCTGGCTCTCAGCTACAGCAGAACTGTGAAAGAGGAGCTGCTGGTCACTGGTTGGTTCTGCTTCACTGTGGTCCCTTTCCTCATAAGTAGGAGTCAACATAAAGGGATCAACCTCCTGCTTCAGTCCAAGCTGCTCTCCCTCCTGACCGCTGCAGAGTTCCTCCTGTTCCTCTTTAATCTGTGGAGGCTCTGGGTCCTCTTGGTCCAGAATGGAGTTCCTCTCCTGGTCCCCGAGCTGCTGGTCAGCCAGAACCACCTCCTCCTTACAGACATGTTGCTGTGGCAGCTCTGGAGGGACAAAGGAAGTAACAGGTCACTGATGTATTGAGAGAAAAATGAGTGATTATGCTACATTAAAAGTAGTGATCTACTTTTCTTGTGTTTAGGGGAGGGGGCGCTAAAGCAACAACCCCCCCAATGGTACCAACAGACCCAGGGCCCCGTCGAGATGTGTTCCCAGCCTTTCCAGACTTGCATTCTGTGACTATTTTTGTCTACAGTGTGACTATACTTAAACTCGGCGCCCGTCAATGCCAACGTATTTGCTCGTTCCAACGTTAAATGCCAGCTTTTTTTTTCTTTTTTGTGTATTTTTTGCTTTTTTGTGCAGTGCACAATGGTCATGCGCCTCTAACATACAACAGACAGGCATTGATGGACATTGCTAATCACAGCCCTCTGGAATTCGGCAGTTTTATTCCACCAGAGCTACAACTAATTGTACGCTCTCATGGCAACCACCATCACCCCCCGGAAGGTCCCAAAGCACCAACCTCGAGTGAGCAGGCTGACCCCAGGACAGCGAACCGGAGATGGAGACGCAAGCGTGGCAAGAGGGGAGGACTCCATGCTAGGCTAAAAGCTTGCGCTAGCCGACCACCGCTACCCAGCCTCTTGCTAACTACGGCCTGTGGGCCGTATACGACCCGTTAAGCTTTTTAATCCAGCCTGCCGAAATTTAGACACATTGACCTCTCTATTCACTTCTCTTTTTCGCTTTACCCTTTGACCCCTTCTGTAAAAATGAGCGGACCAAAGAAAAGAAAAGTGGACAGTGAATCCCGAGCGTTTAATAAGGAGTGGACAACAAAATGTTTTTTTTACTGAAGTCCGATCAACAGCTGTATGTCTGATATGCCAAGAAACGGTTGCAGTTTTCAAAGAATACAATATCAGCCGTCATGTTGCCACAAAACATGCCAACTATGCTAGCAAGCAGTCAATGCAAGAACGGGCGGCTACTCAGAGATTGATGGCTAATTTACAGACTCAACAAAATATTTTCTCCGACAAACTGCAATTCAAGAGTCAAGTACCAAGGCAAGTTTTATGCTGGCATTCAAACTAGCAAAGGCTAACAAGCCTTTCTCTGAAGGCCAGTTTTTGAAAGACTACATGGTAGAGACAGTAGGTCTCTTGTGTCCAGAGAGCAAAGGCAAGTTTGAAAAAAATTCAGTTTATCATGCAAGACAGTGACTCATCTTGTGGAACTGATTGAAGGAGATATATCCAGGGAGTTAAACAAAAAGGCGAAGTCCTTTAAGTTTTATTCACTAGCACTGGATGAATGTAACAACATAAAAGACACTGCTCAGCTCCCAATTTTTATCTGAGGGATTAACGACAGTTTTGAGATAACAGAGGAGTTTTTGGCCATGGAGTCCCTGAAAGGAAATATGCAAGGAGAGGACTTATATGACTGAGTTTCTGCTGTCACTGAGAGAATGAAGCTACCTTGCAGTAAACTTGCCAATGTCACCACAGATGGATCGCCAAATTTAACTGGAACAAACGTTGGGCTGCTGAAAAGAATCCAGGATAAAGTGAAAGAGGAAAACCCTGCCCAGGATGTTATTTTCCTTCACTGCATCATTCATCAGGAATCTCTGTGCAAGTCTGTATTGCACCTTAATCATGTTGTGAATCCAGTCGTAAAACTTGTTAACTTTATACGAGCAAGGGAACTTCAGCACCATCAGTTTATTACGTTCCTGGAAACCGATGTGGATCACCAGGACTTACTTTACCACTCTCCTGTCTGCTGGTTAAATTTGGACAAAGTGTTTCAACGAGTGTTTGAGCTCAAAGAGGAGATTAGCCCATTTTTGGAGTTAATGGGGAAATCCGACGAATTTCCTGAGCTGAGTGACTAGAACTGGCTTTGTGACTTTGTGTTTGCTGTGGACATTTTATCACACATGAATGCGCTGAACGTGAAGCTACAGGAGAAAGATCAGTTTGTGCACAACATGTACACAAATGTGAGAGCCTTCAAATCCAAGCTGACTTTATTCTCCAGACAAATTTAATACATATCTTTCGCTCATTTTCCCCACACTAGCCATGCAGAAAGAGGCCACCTGAAACATGAAGAAATACAGCAAATCACTGGACAACCTGCACTGAGAATTCTGCCGTCGGTTCTCTGATTTTTAAAAAATTGACAAGTCACTTCAGCTGGTGTCCTGTCCCCTGTCACAAGACTCTGAAACAGCACCACAGGAGCTGCAATTGGAACTAATCAATCTTCAGTCTGACTCCGTGTTAAAGGAGAAGTTCAACTCTCTTAAACTGAATGACTTTTATGCTTCGCTTAACGTAGCCACGTTTCCAAACCTCTGGAGGACGGCACAGAAGATGCTGACGGTGTTTGGCTCGACCTATGTGTGTGAGCAGACGTTCAGTGTGATGAACATCAAAGCCAGTCACAGATCCATGTTAACTGACCAACACCTCAGATCTATCCTGAGAATAGCCACAACAAAAATAACTCCAGACTTTGATGTACTGGCTAAAAGGGAGACAGACAACACTGTTCCCACTGACACTGAAGGTTTATTTCTCTACTCTTATGAAAAAAATGCATCTGGAGAATAATTGTACAATAAGCCTTGCGTATTCATGCTTTGCTACCTGTTCAAGGCCAAAACCTTTTATGTAATGGCTTTTATATGTAATTTATATTAGTTCACACAAACACTCCATCCTTCTGCTCCCGGCCCCTCTGTCAAATTTTAGAAGGAGGATAAGGGTAATCACTTTTATTGGCCAAGTACGGTGAGGGGCTCCGTGATTCGAAACTCCAACTCTCCGGCTGGGAGACGAGCGCTCTACCCACTTAATTCATACCGAGTCATATCCCCGTGTTAGATTCAGTTCATCCGTTAGTATTATTAAAATCATTCAGGTGTAACAGACCTATTCTGTGTAGCTTTACTTCTGGTTTCCAAACGATATCCAGCAGTCTGCGCTGACGACCGATCTTCTCCTCGTACTCGACCATAGTTTTTTCGAAGGCTCCAAAGATTTCTTCAGCAGCAGTTAGTCGCTCGGTGACGAACTCTCTCAGATACTGAACTGAAGACATTGTTGATTTGTTAAAAGTGAGCTATTTATCTGTGAAAGTACAATACCGCCGTCTTAACTCAATAGTTTCACAGAGCCAACGCTGCTAGCGCTTTGTTTATTTATTTCCGCCGGATGTGACCCGGTGAAGTTCCGGTAACGGACGTTAGGTCCCTCTTCTTCTTCTAATATAATTCCCGCAGGCTGTACACCTTGATGTGCAATGCTGCCCTCCACAGGGGAAAAATCTTTTGATTAGGCTTATAAGGCTAATAACTTATCTAAATTCACTGATACAGGCCAGTCAAACATAAATACTTTAAGAATGCCCTCGCAGTTAGTTGGACGTGAGTTCCGTTTTAAACTGAGAAAAAAGAAAGAAAGAAAAGCAATTTTAGTACGGGTTTGAGAGATGAATTTTTTTTATTTTATAATTTACCTGCTTCACACATTGATGGCTAGTTTATTAAGGAATAATGTATGAGCTCATTATAGTGTTTTATATGTAAATTTTATACAACACAGTAACTACAAATATCAAGTAAATGTGAATGACTCAAACTACATTTTTTGCTTGTTAACTGTGGAGGCTGGACAATAGTTGAACCAATAACAAACATGAAAAACATCTTCCAGTTAACATTACACTTGATTTATACACGAAAAATTTACATCTCAAAAGCAACATCAGAAGTAGCAGAAACTGTCCCTGGTCATAGAACAGTCACTTGGCAGAATAACTCATCTTCCTGGGTGGAATGTAATAATTCCAGGAAGTGGTTGTGAAATTGTTGTCAAGCCAACACAAATTATCACAAAATATGGCTCCTTCTTATAAACTGAGCTAAGAAGGCTCACCTCAAGTGTCAGCAAATATGAGTTTGTACTGCGTGGGACTTTGTTACTTAGAAATCCTATTACCTCTCATTAAGATGGGCTTGTAAAAGCAGAAACAGTGTCAAAATGCACACTTACAGAGAATTACATTCACACAGTGCAGTGCATACAAAGACAGTCTTTATCAATCATCTTTTGCATGACATTCATGTTGTCTCAATACAAATACATGTTAGTAAATCATGATAGTCAGCATCATGTCTGTCAACCTTGTTCTTGATTGTCTATTACATACTATATTTTTGTCTGGTTTCTAGGTACCTAGATCTTGTTTTCTCAAGATATGTGTATGGTGGTTATTCTCTGGTGTCATGTTGTTTTGTCCCTTACTGCTGCTGGAACACGGGAATTTCCCCACTGTGGGAGCAATAAAGTTCTGCCTTACCTTACCTTAAAAATCAACAAACTAGCACTTTGTGTGTTGTAGAGTGTTGCAGTCGAGTCCAACTCGAGTGTCAAGTCCCCAGTGCTCATGTCCAAGTCACTAAAGAATAATTAAAGTTCTCTCCATTACTGGAGACAGAGTCATCAAGGTCTACGTTAAACACAACTGACACAGCTCTCACCGTTCTATATTCCAACAACATATTGCATCACCACATTGCTTGGCAATTTGATACATAAAAACCATTTATAGAAAGGTGGAGTTTACACTTAATGGAAGTGTGCCGGATACCTTTACATGGCTGGACTGGAATAACATGCAAGCAAGCAAGCAACATTTATTTTTATAGTTCCTTTCTAAACTGAAGTTACAAAGTGCTTCACAGTTAAAACAAAAAAAAAGCAAATACAGCAGCATATATCAATTTAAATGCAACAAAATAAAATGGACAAAAATTATGAACATGGTAAAAAAGGAAAACAGGTACCCTACTCGGTGCCAGTGAGGAACGCCTGTCTATAGAAGTGAGTTTTGAAGACAATGAAACATCACCAAATTGGGTGCCAACCAAATATATGAAGAAAGGCTATTGCATAACTTAGGAACCACAACCACAAAAGTTTGCTCACCAGCAGATTTAAGCCCAGACCTAGAAACATCCAGAAGACACAGGTTGGAGACCCGGGGCCTTTCTATGTGGAAACTACATGTTCTCCCTGTGCCTGCATGGGTTCTCTCCGGGTACTCCGCCTTACTCCCACAGTCCAAAGACATGCAGCTTAGGTTGACTGGGGACTCTAAATTGCCCGTAGGAGTGAATGAGTGTGTGTGGTTGTTTGTCTACATGTCAACCTTGTGACAGAATGGCAACCTGTCCAGGGTGGACCCCGCCTCCTGCCCAGTGTGACCTGGGATTGGCTCCAGCCCCTCCGTGACCCTCTTCAGGATAAACAGTATAGATAATGGAAGGATGGATGACTCAGAAAAAAGTGATGTGAGGACTTCAGCATAGGTTCATGAAAATAAAATCAGTTAAATCAATAAAATCAATTTCTAAAAATTGTACTGAAAAAGTAATCAGCAGATAAGCCAATAATGAAAACACATTAAGTACTTACAATTGCAAAGAAACCCATATATGAAAATATGTCTGTTTGCAAGAGGTAATATGCTTTAAAGGGGACATATTTTTCAATACATTCCGTGACCCTGAAACCAAAACGTATAGGTCAAACAAATCTTCTGTACTTTGCTGTTGTACAAGGTACTGCACAGGGCTCTTTCTCAGCCCATTTAAAATGCGATGTTCCACAAGGTTTAATCCTAGGCCCTCCACTGTTTTCTATCTGCATGCATGGGGACATCATCTGTGAGCAGAATAGTTGTCATGTTGTGCAGATGATGCTCAGATGTTTGCTGTTATGCAGATGGCACCTTTTATAAAACGAAAATACTCCAGGCCTGCACTGTTTCACTTGAACGCAGGATCTGGGGCATGCACAGTACTTCTCAATTCATTAATTTCTGTTCATCAAATGTATGCTAGAAATATCAGTTTGTCAGAACAAGTTAGATTCTGCATGAGTATAAAACGACCCGGTTTGTACCACAGTTTTTACCACAAACGCAAACAACCTGGGATCATGTGCTGACCTGGGTCAAAATGCCTTTGTGATTCATTCTGGCAGTTATTCTAACAAGCTTCAGGTATCAGATGGGTGGATGTGGCCCCTTTGAACCAGAAAACACATCTTAAAGTAACAAGCGGGCAAAGTTTTCTGCATACTTACAAGAAAGAAAACTGCTGTATATGAGCTGGAATGAAAACCGGCCTTTTAGAAAATATTGTCTGAAGACCAGTGACTCACAGGTAACACAAGTTGATACACTATACAGACTTCTCAGGAAGCTGCTGCTTGGTTGATTACACTCACACACACACATATATATTTTTTCAAACTCTTACATTTATAGATACATAAATCAAAGTACATATATATCTTACCATTCCCATGTGTACCGGTCCTGGTGAAATACCCCCTCTCCAGATGAAGGCTGCCTTTCTCAGCTTACACGTCTGACATGACATAAAAATGTGTAATAAAACAGCTCTTTGTTGGCAGCAAAGATAAGCACAGCCTTATGGAACAGATCAGACTCACTTTAGGTTCAATTCAGGGACATCTTTAAGGCTCACAAAGATTCATAAAGCTAAAGCCAAAATCTGCTGTCAAACTGGGTTTATGTCCCACTCATGTGGTACAGGTTAACATTATTAGACTCAGGTCAACCTGGAGAGTGTATTTGTAATGTGTGAATTCCAGGTCCCCCAGGACCTCACAACACTGTGGTCTCTGACTGCAGGATGGACTGGGTCCTGGAGCTGTGGTGAAACTGCACCATGTGCTCTGAGCCGTTCCTGGAGGTGAAGGTGCTGTTGGGGTGGTGAGCTCTGCTCAGGTGGCAGTTCAGACACATGCTACGCCACTTTCTCTTCAGCTCACCTTGAACCTGCAAAAATAAGACATTTAAGTTTTGTTTTTTACATAAAAATATTTACTGTATATGCTATAGACAGTGAATCAGCCCCTCCCTCCTCTAAACAGAGAGCAACACAGAGAAAATACAGTGGAAAAACTAAACAGCTTGGTCAACCAAGGACGGGGTATGCTGCTCATTAGGTTCTGACAGTGGAAACACAGCAGTAGAGACAGCCTACCTCTGTGTTCAGGAAACAATAGAGAATGGCCACCACAAGCCCCTGAAAAGCATGAATGTTAAAACTGTTTAATTCATTAAGGATCATTAGGAACAATGATGATGACATGCAGTAGTAGAAGCACGGTTTGAAGGGACTGATAATAGACCTGAAAGGATCCAAGAGCCAGATCAAAGAATATTTTATAATCTTCTGCAATGGATTCACTGGGAGAAACAAAGACCACGTAGTGGATGCCAAACAGGGGGATCAGAAGGAGAGTGGATTTGGCCAACCTCCTAGAGAAAAACAGACATGAACAGTTATTTGTAGCAGTATTTAACTACATCCAACACAATGTTTGCTCTTGTTTCTGTTGTATGTTGAGAGCATATTGCTGCTAAATGACATGACACGGAGGTAGTACAGACTTTGCTGTCAACACAGCAAAAGGTTGTTATAGGGACTCAAGTAGATCTAGCAGGACCTCTGAAATCCCACTAGAAACTGAAACTGTAGTCAAATAACAATGTGGCTGAGAGGAAAGTGAGTTCTTGACACCTAATTACTCCTGTAGTGCTGTTACCCCACAGCTCCCATTTAAGATGGTGAAATCCTTCCTTCCATTATCACACTCTGCTCAGACCTACACTGAACTACACTGCACTGACACTGAATCACAGTTGCTTACATGCTGGAAAAAACAGTTAATAGCACCAGGTAGAGAAGTGATTTCCATCTCTGTGCATTTTCTCTTTGGAGAAAATGAAATCTTAACCCACTGTGAGATACCTGTACTGTGATTGGTCATTGCCACCCACGTCAGGACACCTCAGCTTTTGAACTAAGATCCGAATGATGCTGATGAACAGGGTGAAGTTCACCTTGGAGACAGGACAAAAATAACTCAGTTATTACAACAGCTGAGTCAGATAAACCCGTAAGGGCTTGTTTTATTTTGCTAATTATTTTATTAAACATTTCTCTGTCCACAGAAAGCAATGAATGAAATGTGAACAGAAAGAGACAACAGGAAGTGAGTGCGCTAGTCAGTAAATATTTCTTACTCTGGTGCATCTTTGGGTTTCTTTAAAGCATCGTAAATTAAATTAGCTGAAATCACTTCAGCAACAATTTGACATGTTGTCGGTTTTCTGTCTATAAAGGAGATGGGAAAGTGCAGTGCACTGTATAGATCTGCTGCTTGTGATCACCTTGCACCTTTCTGCAAATAGCGTAAACTGCCTACAGTAAGGTAAATGCACCTTTCAACAGCAAGGCAATTACAACGTGCTTTATGTAAGACATAGAAGATGTAACAAATGTAAAACACACACAAGGCAACATGAGAACAAACATTAAAAGACACACAAAATTAGGGTTTAGGGTTAGATTGATAGTAGTAAGTAAAATAGAATAAAACAAGAAACATTACTGTCTCACTACAGCAAAGTACAAGACATGAGTACATTTAATTTCAACTATTTAATAAAAGGCAGTAGCAAACATATTAGTTTGAAACAAACTGAGCTGACGTAAACCTGACTGTCATGTACATAGCTATCAGATGAATATTTTATGAATAAGCATATTCATCACACAAAGACCATCTTCTGCTTTTATATCACTGTTACCAATGCAAAAGATAATACTCACTGATGCCTGTTGGTTTTTACAGTACAGGTGGTCATGAGCCACTACTCTGTAATGAGCTTTACACAGGAAAAGGTACTTTTCGTTGTTTGTCCCCTTACTTTGAAATGGCAAAAAGAGTCAGAGTTTTTTTCCTCATCAACATAATGTTTAATGCACATTCAGCTCGTACAAATATTCCTTCATCAACAGAAGAAACAAAGGTGGTCAGGGGGTGTAGAAAAAGAAAGTTATAGTAAAATATTATGAAATGTTTTCTAATCCTTTGTAAGTCCTCCAAAACCTGCATTCTGAGCAGTGTTTGTGTCCTTTCAGGTGTAATTTCTTTGTGGCATATTCATTCCAAGCCTATGAGATTGCTTTTGTACTCAACTGTGTAGAAATATTGCAAATACAGTTCAATGACTTTAAAACTTCATGTCCCCTAAGGTTGTAAGTTAAATTCAGTTTGTTGAATTTGATGCAAGAGTGATGAACTTGCTGACTGTGACAAATGAGTTTATAAAGATTTTACTGTAAATTCACCGAAGAAAGATTAAAAAAATAAGGTAAAGAGAAATCAAAGGATGCCAACTACAGTAAAATTAACAAAGCAATTCAGTTCTCAGGCAATCAGAAGTTGTTATGTCAGTGTTATTGGGCCACCTAATTGACTTTATGCTGCTGTAAAATGAATGTGACATTTCCCCAGCATCCATGCCCCTTATAACATGTTCTGTTTATCTCCATTTGACAGCACTTTAACAAGCAAGTGAAAGGAAAGAACCTCAACCTACCATGATGGACACTCCGATTGGTCCATTGATCACCCAGTTGGGTATGGGGTTGTCATTTCTCTCCCAGCATCTGAAGGTACCATAGATAGCCTTAATGTAACTATTAGAATGTACATGATATGTTTGTTAAACACCACAGCAGCAGCAAATTTCAGGCTGTAAGCAGAGGGACCGCCGGGCTGCTACCTCAGCACATTTTCCAAAGATTAAATCTTGATGTGAAAAACAATTTGGAAGGTTGAGTCAGGCCAAAATACTTTGTCTTTTGCCTCATTTGTAAAATCTTGTGTCCTTCAGGGAAAACCTAAGTAAAGTCACAAATCCGTCTGTCTGTTTTTAGCCACTTATCCCGTTGTAGACTGCAGCAGACAAAGGCTAATCAAGGTACAGGTATGTGCCAAAAAATTAGAATATCGAGGAAAAGTCCATTTATTTCAATAATTTGTTTCAAAAAGTGAAGCTTATATGTTATATTAGTTCACTACACACAAAGTGAAATATTTCAAGCCTTTATTTGTTTCAATTTTGATGATTATGGATTAAAGACAAAAAAAACCCCAAATCCAGTATTTCACAAAATTAGAATATTTCATGTGACCAATTAAAAAAAGGATCTTAAACACATGTTGGCCTTCTGAAAAGTGTGTTAATGTACTGTATTATGTCCTCAGTACTTTGTTGGGCCTCCTTTTGCATTAATTACTGCATCAAGGCGGCGTGGCATGGAGGCGATCAGCCTTTGACACAGTTGAGGTGTTATGGTAGCCCAAGTTGCTTTGATATTGGCCTTCAGCTTGTCTGCATTTCGGGGTCTGTGTTCCCTCATCTTCCTCTTGACAATACCCCATAGATTTTCAATGAGGTTTAAGTCAGGTGAGTTTGCCGGCCAATCAAGTACAGTTATTCCATGGCTATTAAACCAGGTACTGGTAATTTTGGCTGTGTGGGCAGGTGCCAAATCCTGCTGGAAAATAAAATCTTCAGCTCCAAAAAGCTTGTCGGCAGCGGGAAGCATGAAGTGCTCTAAAATTTCCTGGTAGACAGCTGCGTTGACTGTGGACTTGATAAAAGACAATGGACCCACACCAGCAGATGACATGGCTCCCCAAACCATCACTGACTGTGGAAACTTCACACTGGACTTTAAGCAGCTTGACTTTTGTGCCTCTCCGGTCTTCCTCCAGACTCTGGGACCTTGATTTCCAAATGAAATGCAGAATATGCTTTCATCTGAAAACAGGACTTGGGACCACTGGGCAATAGACCAGTACTGTTGCTCCTTAGCCCAGCACAGACGCTTCTGACGTTGTTTTTGGTTCAGGAGTGGCTTGACGCATGGAATTCTACAACTGTAGC